GGATGGCCCCGCGCCACTGGGCGCGCAGGGCGGCCAGCTGCTTGCGCTGCACCAGGAAGGGGAGAAGCCCCGCTGGGGTCAGAGGGCACCAGCAGGGAGCTGCCCCCTTCACAGGACCCCGCGGGGCCGTGCCAGCCCCAAGGACTGCACCGCCCCCAGCTCTCGACATGTGGCCCCAGGCACCCCGAGCTTACCGCTCTGAGGGCCTGCGGGGTCAGCGGTTTGGTTGACTCCACCGACTGGATGGTGATGGTGCTGTTCAGCTCCATCTCCAGCTGCTGCTGGAAGCGCTCCCGCAGCTCCTGCACAGAGAAATCCAGCTTGGGGTAGGACACCACCTTCTCCTGCAACGAGAGCGAGGCAGTAAGCGCCAGGAGCCAGAGGAGGCCAAGAGGTGCCTGTGCTGCCAGAGGCAGGCGGCTGGGACCGGAGGTCTGGGGTCTCTGGCTGGCAAGCTCCAGGGAGCCTGGGCTCAGAAGCCTCTCCAGGGGCTGTGCTGCTCCTGCCGGTAGCCAAGCGCTGCCCTGCCAGGAAGCCCTTCTGGCACATGCAGGTCCTACAGGCCCCCCACCAGCCCCCGGTGTCTCTGTTCCTCTGTGAGGCAGCTGGAAGGGCTTTTACTTCCTCGGAACAATTTGCTGCCTGATGAACTGCGCTGGCTGGAGAGCAGAGAGCAGGCTGCAAAGTTCTTCCCATGCCACGGTCCTGAGCTGGACCCGAACGCACCCTGAGGACGTGTGAGCGCCGTGTGGCCACCTCCAACACCTCCACCCCCACCCGGCGGCTTACTTTGGAGTAGAAGTTGTCGAGCAGAGCAGATTTGCAGGTCTGGGGCTTGGGGGCAGGGGGCAGCTGGTAGTCCGGCTGCACGATCCTGATGGCCCTCAGCACCGTCTCCTTCTCATCTCCCTCAAACAGGCACTTTTGGAAGAGCTCATCCACGTGGAAGCCGTCCTGTTTCAGCTGCTGCACACACCTGAGGAGGGGCAGGTAAGAGGTTTAAACTTCCCTGGGGGACCGTGCTGTGTGTTGATGGAAATTTGCATGCCATGAGGCAGGGAACAAAGCTTGTCAAGAGAAGACTGAGCACAGAGAAGAGAAGCCATTGGGGACATTCCCTTTTGAGGCTCCCAGCTGCCTGCAGAGCGCAGCCCGTCCCCCACAAGGTCACCAGCCTCAGGTTTCAGCCATCCCCCCCAGCCCTCACTGCTGCTGAGCGGGCAGCTCTCTCCTCCACACGGGTGTGGAAGCTGACTGCTGGTCTCCACCGCCTCTGTGAGGCCAGGGAAAAAAGCAGCCGCTTCCCCCATCCTCAGACCCATGCCAGCCAGCACAGAGCTGCATGAAAACACACGCAGGGGGCTGACAAACCCTGCAGGTGCTGTACCTGCACCGCCCTAGGGCAGCGGGTACCCCCTGTGCACAGCTCTCTGCTCCCAGATCTCCTCTGCCCCTGAGATCTGACAAAGCCCCGGCCGGGGAGCTGCCAGCCCGCCCCGGGGCCCCGTGCCTCACCTCCAGATGATCTTGGTGCACGCCTGGCCCCGGCCCATGCACTCCAGCGCCGCCGCGTACGAGTCCAGGTTGGGGCGGAGGCCGGCGGATTCCAGCAGGGAGAGGACCCGGTTGAGGCGGTGCAGGCAGCCCTGGGGATGAGAAGGAGAGGCTGTGGAAAACTGACACTGAATGCTGCCATCGCAGCTCCACGCCCCTGCTCCCTGTCCAGCCCAGCCCCGTCCATGCTGCCCCGTGCTCTCCCCCCCCTCAGAGCCACCTCGCAGCCAGCGGGGGCCTCAGCCCAGCTCCACCCCTCGCAGCATCCAGTTCTCCCAAATTGAAATCACTGAGGGCAGCGTGACAAACAGAAATCCAAGTGCAACTACTGCTCCTACGAGCACGGAGCTCTTCCCCCGGAGCCAGCACAGCCCTCCCCTCAGCCTCTCAGACAGCCCAGCACCACGGGGCCGAGCCCAGCCCGGGCAGCACCCCACGGCCCCACACCTTTCTCGCCCAGCTGCGCATCACGATGTTGTACGCGCCGATGGTCAGCAGCTTTCTCTTCATGGGGGAGCTGTGACACAGCAGCAGCAGCCTCTCAGCCTCCTCCGGCTGCTGCAAGCACAGGAGGCACTCCAGGTTAGACTGGATGGTCTGCTGCATGATCTTCTGGTGGTTGCTTTCTCTTTTCTCAGGCACGTTCGGGGCTTTCTCTGCTTTCACGTCCTGCTTCACTTCCACCACCTCGGGCTTGCTGCAGGCGCTGCTGGGGCCGGCGTGGCCCTGGCTCCACGCAGCCACTTTGGTTTCCTTGGGGCTCTTCGTGGCCTTGGGTTTGGCTTTGGGCTTGGGCACTGCCTTGACCTTTACTTTGGCGTTGGGAACCGCCTTCACCTTTACTTTGGTGCTGGGAACTGCTTTCACCTTTACTTTGGCGTTGGCCTGGCCCACCAGAGTCATCTTGGAGGCCGCGATGGACAGCTTCCTCTCCACCTTGGCCTGCCGCACGTACATCTCCCTCTTCAGCTTCTCCACCCAGCTGCTGGGCTGGGCCGGGCTCGCGGCGCTCTGCCTGGGGGCTGGGGGCTCCTGCTGCCTGCCCATCCGCAGCGGTGCCAGCTCCGCTTTGCTCACCGTCACCTCGGGGCCGGGGGAGGCTTGGAGCTGCTTCACTCGGGCTTTCAGCACTGCAGGGAAACAGCCGGGGCAGAGGTGAAGCGCCACAAGGCGCAGCAAGGTGCTCGGAAAGGGGGGTACGGGGAAGAGGCACCACGCGAGGGCTTCTCCTCTCCCTGTCCCCCAGCCCTGCCCCAGCAGCGCGTTGCCCGGGGTCTCTCTGGGGTCCAGCTCCGAGCCGTGGCCTGTCCCAGGGTCAGGAGGAGCCAAAAAGCGGCACCACGTGGAGCAAGGCAGCCACTCACGCCCACCTAACCCTGACCTGCTGCCGGGCCGTTTCACTGGGCCTCCCCCCGAGGACCTCATGCCCTCAGCTCACCCAGGCAGAGCGCCCATAGCTGGAACTCTCTGCAGGGAGAGTTCTCCCCAGCCTGCAGGGCCCTCGGACGCCCTGTGAGGGGCTCTGCCACCACCCCTTAGGACCACCCTGCACATCACAGGGACTCGATGTGGGCTGGGGGGACCTCCAGGTACTGGGACAGGGCAGAACGTGCTCAGGAAAGCCAGCAGGTCTGTGGGAAGCCCACATCCTTCAGCAGGCTGTGAGCGTTTCCAGTCCCAAATCTTTTCCTTATGGCTACACGGAACGGGAAGGCTCCTATAAAAGCTCCCAGGCCACCGAAGGAGGGGCAGCGCTGCAGCTCCCCCCGCCCATTTACCTTCCAGCAGCTCCGTCCTCTCACACACCACATTTTTCCTCGCCTTCTCCTTGGCGCTGACGGAGGAGTAGGTCCTGAGGACGCTCCACGGGATCCCTGCGGCAGGAGGGAACAAAGGCGGGGGGGTGAGAGGGGCCCTGCTCGGTGCGGGGGGGGTGAGAGGGGCCCTGCTGCATGCACTGGGGTGGGCACAGACCGGGGCCATCCCCAGCTCAGCCCAAGGGGTATCAGTGGCCTCAGAGGGACAGGGACAGGGGCTGGGGTAAGGGGCCGGGGCTGCCACATGGCTGGGGGGGGGGGCAGGACCCCGGGGTCCCCTCCAGGACTCCACGGACCCCCCCAAAGACCCCAGAGCCACCCCCCAGAGCCACCCCCCAGGGACACCCCCAGGACTCCCCAGGGCCCCCCCTGTCCCAGGACGCCCCCCCAGCCCCTGCCCCAGCCCCAGCCCCAGCCCCAGCCCCGCCGCACAGCCGGGACCTGCCCCAAGGGGGGGGTCAGGCCCTGCACCCCCCCCATCCCCACCCCGTGCGTGGGGGCGCGGCCCGAGGCCCCCCCCCGGCCCCAGCACCCCGGGGACCCCCCGGGGCCGGCCCCTCGCCACACCCCCGCGCCCCCCCGGGTCCCGGTGCCGCCGCCGCCCGCTCACCGCCGCCCCGCAGCGGGCCCGGGCCCAGCAGCGCCGCCCGGAGCCGCAGCAGCGCCATGGGGCCGCGCTAGGCCGCCATGCTCCCCCCCCCCCCGCCGCACCGCGCAGGCGCCGCGCGCAGCCCGCCGGGAGCTGGAGGAGGCGGTGGCGGTGCGGGAACTACATTTCCCAGCGGGCAACGCGGCCGCGCCCCGCGCCCCCTGGCGGCCATGCGGGGGGGGTGAGGAGCGGCCCGACGGGGCGGGAGCGGGGGCACGGAGCGGGACCGGGAGCGGGGCCGGGAGCGGCCGGGACCGCGGGCACGAAGCGGGGCGGCCCCGCGGGGCTCTTCCACGGGGCAGCCCCGCGCCCACGGCCGCTCCGAGCCCCCCGAGGAGCCCGTCGGGGGCGCTGCGGGGGGAGCTGCGCGGCGCCTCCCGCCCCCACGGGGCCGCGGAGCCCAGAGCGGGGACCGGGACACGGCGAGGGGCGGCCTCGGGGAGCCCCGGCCCCGCTGCGGGGTGGGGAGGGCGGCGGGAGCGGGCAGAGGGGCGCCCGTCGGGGCACCCCCACCCCCACCCCGCGCGGATTTATGAATGGGAGGCCCCGCCCCTCGCCCCGCCCCCCGCCCCGCCCCGCCCATTGTTGGCCGCGGCCCCGCCCCGCCCCTCCCCGCCGCCTCGCGCCGCGCTCGGCCGCCCGCCCCGTCGGGGCCGCTGCTCGCTGTCGCTGTCGCCGCCGCCGCCATGGCCCGGAGCCGCCGCCCGCCGCGCCGCGCCCCGCCATGAGGCGCGGGGGCCCCGCCGCCATCGCCGCCTGCCTCGCCGGGGCGCTCGCCGTGCTGGCGGGGCCGGGGCCGGGGCCGGGGCCGGGGGCGGGCAGCCCCCCGTGGGGCGGCCGGCGGCCCCCCCGCAGTTACGGCCACCTGGAGGGCGATGTGCGCTGCCGCCGGCTCTTCTCCGCCACCCGCTTCTTCCTGCGCATCGACGGCGGCGGCGGCGTGGAGGGGACGCGCTGCAGGGAGCGGCCGGGCAGTGAGTGCGGCGGGCAGGGACTCGGTGTGGGGCCGGGGCCGGGGCCGGGGCCGGGGCCGCCCCCTCCTCGCCGGCTCCCGGGGCCGTGCCCCAACGGCCGAGGGACGCGGGGCTCCGGCTTTGCCCCCCCGGCTCCGCGCGGCTCCAGCCCCCGTTTGCCGGCCCCGCCACGTCGAAGCGGGACCGGGGCCGCTCCTCGACGGGGGTCCCGCGCCCCCCCGGCCCCCGAGGCGGGGCCGGAGCCAGGAGCCGCCGGGCGCCCCCGCGGTGCCAGGGGCGGGCGCTGCCGGGGCCGGGCAAAGGGCAGCGAGCGCGGCTGCGGGGGGGCTGCGGCCGCGGGGGGGCGGCGGGGCCGGACCCCGCCGGGAGGGGCCCCGGGCCCGGCCGTGTCCCGGCGGCTCTTCCAGCCGGGCGGCAGCCGCGGGTCGCGGTGCCCCGGGGGGCAGTGCGGGGTCCCCCGAGCCGCTGGGAGCCCTCAGGGCTTTGTGCAGCGAGGGTGAGCCCGAGGGGGCCCAGCGCTGCCAGCCTGGGCCAAGAGCGAGCCCCGAGCGTGGGGTCGTGCCCGGGGACAGCCCCCGGGTGGGGACCCGCTGGGCACGGCCGGCAGCCCCCCCCCCGGCACAGATGTGGCCGAGCGCTGGGGGCTTGCAGCAACCTCCCCATGGAGGGGCCTGCGGGGGCCTCGTGGGGTCGGGCAGCGCGTCCGGGTGGGCACCAGGAGGGTGAATGGGGGGGGGGTCTCGGCATGGCCAAGGCTGCTGCTGCCATCGGGAGGTGGGGAGGGGGCAGGGCCAGGCCTTCCCCTGGGGTCGGGGCTGGCACCGCGTCCCCTCCACCCCGCAGCCATCGGGGGCGGCCGTGGGGGGCTCCTGCGGGGGGACACCCGGGCAGGGCAGCGCGGTGTGGGGAGGGCAGGATGGCGAGGACGGGAGCAGCATCCCCTGCCCCACGGCCGGGGGGATGTCACCCACCCGGGGACCCCGCGCTGTGGTGTGAGGGGCTCAGCCCAGCCCGGCGGGGCCGGGGGAACCCTCCCGTGGTGCCCGAAGCCGCCGGGAGCCCCGTGCGGGCGCGCTGCCAGCACCCAGTGCCCCGACACGTTCCCTCGGCCGTGTGGCAATGGGGCCTGGCAGGTGGAGAGGCTCCAGGCTGTCGCACCGGGCTCGCTCTGGTTATCGGAGCCGCAGATAACCCGCGCCTGGGCTGGGCCGAGGCGCTGCTCCTCAGCCTCCCGGCAGCCACCGGACCAGCCCTGCCAGCGGCCGCTGGCCCCGGGCCCCCCCCTCCTCGCACCCCACGCCTGTCCCAGGCTCCCGGGCAGGGCTGGCCCCGACCCCACCAGGACCGAGGGTCTGGGAGCCACCGCTGTGTCCCCAGGGTGCTGCCGGCCCCGCAGAGCTCGGCCCTGGGTGCCCCGCGCCCCTCGGACCCTTGAAGCCCACCCGGAGCCAGGCGCCCTCCCGGGTACCCGCAGAGCAGTCCCCAGCTGGGCAGAGCGGCGTGGGGCTATTTTTAGAGGAGTAAAAGTCTCTGTTATAAATAGCAGCAGCTCCAGACGGCGATAAACTGAGATGGATTTGCAGGCGTTTGCCCAGCCCGTCCCCACGGCTGCTGCTCGTTAATGGCTCTGCAGGGCCGGGATGCGCTGAACCGCCCCGCGCGGGTCCTGGCTGCTGCTGGAGCCCCCTGCGGGGGGGCTGGGCTGAAAATCCCCCTCCCAGGTGTGCCCCCGAAGGTGCTGAGCTCTCAGGAGCACTCACACCGTCCTGGTGCCACATCCAGCCCCGTCCACTCCCAGCAATGGCAGGATTGGTCCCGTGGGGGCTCCAGCGGTGCTCAGCACACTGGGGGTGGGGGGGGAGGACCCCCAAAAGACCCTGCCCAGAGGCTGCTCTGTGCGTGCCGTGAGCCAGCCAAAGCCTCTGCGCATCCTCCAGCCCCGTCCAGCCTCCGTGGGGCTCCCCGGGCAGAGCAGGGATGGGGATGGGGCCAGGCCGGCTGCTCTCTCGCTGGCCTGGAAGCCGAATCCCCAGAGTCTCCGTGGGTGCTCTGGGTGTTTCCACCATAAAACCCGCCTGGTCTGACCGCATGCCTTTCCCATTAGCGGCCCCGATGGGGATCTGCGGGCTGGGCGCACGCTCCAATGCCTGGGCTGGAGCCGGGCCCCGCTGCAGGCTCAGTGCCTGGGTTCACCCCCTCCGTGCAGCGTCCATCCCGCAGCCCCCAGCCCCAATCCCCGCTGGTGCCAGCCAGGCGAGCGGCACTGGTGCCCATGGGGAGCACCGGCCTGGCCGCACTCTGGTGCCTGCAGCCCCCTGCCCTGGCACGGAGCCTTCGTGCACCCCTCCAGCACCATCCAGCTGTGCCCGCTGCCTCCCCCCAGACCCCCACCCGCCGCTACCCTACACCCTTCGCCCCCTCCAGGGCCCTGCTGGCCCCGGTGGGATGGTCGGGCTGAGAGCGGGGTCAGGTCCCTGGGGCTCTGCAGCGTGTGTTGGGCAGGGGCACAGCTGCCAGTTTGGGGAGAATAAACACGAGGTGGGTGTGGGTCAAAGGCTGACCGCTTGTTCAGGCAAGCGGAGCCTTGGCTCGGTGTCGCTCCAGCTCCGCTCCCGGGGGCAGCTGGGCCAAGGGAGGGCAGGAATAAAGACCAAACCCTCCCCAGGTCATGGCTTTCCCCCTCCTGCTCCTGACTCAGGCTGCAGCCCTTGCTCCCCACTGTCCCTCTGTGGGGAAGGCATCCCTCCATCCCTCCCTCCATCCCTCCATCCCTCCGTCCACGTGTCTGTCTGTCTGTCCGGCAAGGCTCGGCGGTGCTGTCCCTCGCTGGTGGCACTCGGTGGGCAGAGCCGTGGTGCTGGGGAAGGGCCCCTCGGGGAGGTCGCCCACCTCACTGCGGCGCTTCGCTGTCCCGCAGGCATCGTCGAGATCCGGTCGGTGCGTGTCGGCGTCGTGGCCATCCGGGCGGTGCACACCGGCTTCTACCTGGCCATGAACAAGCAGGGGCGGCTCTACGGGTCGGTAGGTCGGGTGCTGCCACCAGGGCCGGGGGCGCAGGGCAGAGCTGGAATGGTGGGACCGGCACCTGCCGGGAGTGGGCTCCTGGTTCCCCGTGCCCGGGACGCTCCCCGCAGGGGATGGTGCCCCCGGAGCCGCTCTGCCCCGCGGGGAGCCCGGGCTCCTGCGCCTGCCCTGCTCTCGGGGCTCCAGCCCATGCCGGAGCGGGGCGAGGACCCAGCACTGCAGAGCGCAGCCCCCGCTCACCCCCTTCCCTCCCCTGCCAGAAGGAGTTCAGCCCCAACTGCAAGTTCAAGGAGCGCATCGAGGAGAACGGCTACAACACCTACGCGTCGCTGCGCTGGCGGCACCGGGGCCGCCCCATGTTCCTCTCGCTCAACAGCAAGGGCAGGCCGCAGCGAGGGGGCCAGACGCGCCGGCAGCACCTCTCCACGCACTTCCTCCCCATGCTCATCAGCTGAGCCTGGCTCCCAGACGGTCCTGTGGAAAAAAAGGGAAAAATAGGGTTATTTTATAAGTGTAAATATCTTTTTTTTTTTTTTGCTATTTATTGTTTTATTTTTTAAACGCATGGTGGACGATGGACATGGACACGAAAGCTCCGGGCTGAAAGCTGTGTGGGGATGTGGCCGTGCAGGGACGCGGCCGTCCCCGGTGTCCCGTGGGGGCAGAGCCGCACGTTGGGGCTGGGGCACGCGCCCACCGTGGGCAGGGGCTGCCAACGTCCCCCCCCACCCCAAGCAGCCACCACCAGCCCTGGGGCTGGGACGTCCCGGGGCTGCGTTCGGTTTGTGGAAATTAAAGCTGTGTTTGTGGCACACAAAGGGGCTGAGTCGTGGAGGTTTGGTGCCGGGGGTGGCTCCGTGGGGGTGGCCGCGGGCCCTTTCTGAGCGGCTGCAGCCCCGAGCAGCTGCCCTGGGGCAGGAGCCGCGGCCACCAGCGGCCTCCCCGCTCCTCGCCCACCCACGCCCTGCCTTGAGCGTGCGGGCGGAGGCGCACCCAGCCCAAAACCTCACCCATCGGAAAAAAAGAGTGATTGTTGTTCCAGCGACACAAAGGACGGAGCTGGAAAAAGCAGCCGAGGAAGGGGGGAGCCGCGCATCCCGGCCTCGTGCTGGGTGAAGGCACCGGTGGGAGCGCGACCTCCTGCAGGAGCTGCGCGGCTGCACCTGTGCCCGGCAGCCCCCCGCTGCCCCCCGGCCCCGGCGCTGCTCCGCGGCCTCCCGGAGGGCAGGGATGGAGCCAGGCGCCGGGGAGGTGGCGCCGAGCACAGGCACCTGCCCCGAGGGGAGCAGGGCCAGAAATAGCCCCGCTGCGCAGCGTGGTCACTTCGTCACGTCAACGTGGCAGCGCTGAGCGACGGCCGAGCGAAAACCACCAAACTCGTTCCATTTCTCACCGAACCAGCTCCCGGAGTCGGTGGCAGGAGGGGACGGCCCCTGCGGTAGCCCCGTCGGGACCACGGGGGGCACCGGCCCCAGGCCAGCAGCCCCCAGCTGGGGCAGGCAGCAGGACCCACAGCCCCCAGGAGTGCTGCACCCACCCAAAACCCACCCCGAGCCTTTTAACACGGGTACAAACCACACGTGGAGCTGCCAGGGGGCTGCAGGAGCATCCGCCCTGGGACCCTCCTGCCATCGCCACCCCGAGCCCAGGATCCCAGGGGCAGAAGCTCCTGGCTCAAGCTCTGGCCCCCAATGTCCCAGTCCTGAAATAAACCCTGGCCCTGGAGGCAGCACCTGCTGAGCCGACAGGCACTGCCGAGTGGCCCCGGGGAAGCCGACACCAAACCCTTCCGGGACGGTCGCTCGACAAATCGCTCCGGGTGATTGAAGGTGGGATGTTTTCCCCAGCAAAGCTGCCGTTTATTGTGAAATGGTTCAAGAGGTGCCGAACGCCTTCCCCTTGCTGTGGGGAGGTCACGGCCCTGCTTGGGAAGCTCGCAGCAGGGTGGGGAGCGCTTCCAGGGCCAGCACCTTCCCCGGACACCCTCAGCCTGCTCACAGGGCGCCACCCACACAGCCAAAGCCTGGGGAAGTTGCAGGGAACTTCGGGGCCAGGGATGCTCAACCCTCCTGCCCCGGGCAAGGGCAGGTAACGGAGGCCCCGCGGAGCTTGGCTGCCTCCTGCCTGATCCCCCCCAGCCCCATCCCAGCCCCCTGCCAGCAGCAGGGCAGCGCCCGCCGGTGCCCGCGGGGCGCTCGGCTCCTCCTTCATTCCTCATCCCTCTTCCTGCTGCACCGCGGCCACATCCGAGCTCCTGCTCCTGAGTCACCGGAGACACAAACACTGCAAGAGCCGCGGCCCAGCCCCAGGACAGCGAGGCCACCGGGTCACTGTGCCAGCAGGGAGCTGCAGGGCACCAGGGGCAGGAGGCACCACGCAGGGCAGGGCAGGGCAGCCCTCGGCAAAACCAAGCCCAGGTCTTGCAGAGCTCATCCCAGCAACAGCTGGGCACAGCGGGAGGGTGCAGGGCCAGGGAAGGGGTGGGAAAAACAGGAGCACAGCGCTGCCAAGCCTCCTGCCACACGGAGCACACAACGCTCCCACAAACAGCAGGGACAGGGAGCCCCACAAGGCAGAAGAGGAGGCATCAGCCACATGCTGCCTGCTCGCTCCTCCTGCCAGCACCGTGCAGCGAGGAGCCAGCCATGCCCACGATCCGGGCTCCTTGGAGCTGGCAGCGCAAGGAAACCAGAGCCCCTTGGGGAGAGCTCTGGGGGGAGCCAGGTTTTTGTCCCCTTTCCCCCGCCCCCCAGCCCAGCGGAGCAGGGGTTGCAGCAGGGAGGTCGCTGCCCACGCCGCTCACATTCTCATTCTCCAGCCTCCAGCTCTGTCACAGAAACTGTGAAACACCCGGGTATTTGTCTCTCTCCTTTTTTAATCAGCTGTATTTTAAGTAACTTTGAAATACATTTTCCTCCAAAATCTTGGTTTTCCTATCTACTATTTGATCACAATGAGATTTGTCTGGTCCTCGCTCTGACCGGCACCCAGTCCTGGTGTCAACACAGTGGAAAAGTCCATCGAGCCGAGAGAAGGACTGCAACAGGGAGAAGATGTAAAAAATACAAAACACCAGGCAAGGATGCTTTCAGCTGCAATCCTGCGGCCAGCTGCCCCCTGACCCAGGGCCTGGCAGTGCCCGGAGGGGTGCTGGCCACATTGGAGCCTGGTGCCTGGAGCCCCCAGCACGCCGGGAGGGCTGGGACAAGCCCAGGCTGCCCCTGGGTGAGAGGGGAGGGCTCAGCACAGCAGTCTCCAGAGAGCTTACCCTGTAGTTTTCCTCAAATCATGCATAAGGTCTCGTTGAGCTGAAACGTCCATTTATTTAAACAGCAGTAATAATTTAAAATTATAAAAACCCTTTCAGTGTTGAGTATCAGAAGGGCAAGGTTATAAAGAAAAATAAATGGGACTCGAGCCGGGGAAAGGGAAGGATAATGGGGTCTGTTTCAAGAGTTCATTTTTTCAGTGACAACTATTGCCCTCCCCAGCTGGAGATCCTGGGAGGGAGGCAGTGTCGTTACGCTTTCATTTTAAAGACTTCAATCTCCAAAGCAGAAGAGAGAGTATCCAAGGGGAGGAGGAGGAGCAAAAGAAAGAAAGAAAGAAATCTCAAATTCAGAATCTGACAAACAACCTTTCCATTCAGAATTGCAACCGCTAGCTCAGCACCTTGGGTTTCCACCTGTGGGGCACAGCAGCCTTTCACTGCAACGGCTTTAAGTCCACGCAGCAAATGGATGCATTTTATTACCAGACAGAGCTCTTCCCCCCCAGCACAGAACTCGAGGCTTCTCATCTCTGAAGGACCCAGAGTCTCCGCGTCTTCAGAACTCAAAAGGGAATTCTGGGGGTGCTGCTTCCCCCTCGCTACCCTCCCCTTGCTCTGCTCTGGAAGCCCCTTTTGTTGCTTACGTAGGCTGGGGAGGGAGGAAGGACAATGGACAGGGCCCCAGGGACAGAGGTATGGATTAAGATTCATGAGTTGTTCGATGAGTTTTCGTTACTTGGTGAGCTGGAGGAAGAGGAGGAAGAGGAGGAGGAGAAGTTCATTCCTGTGAGTCCTGGAGGGTTCGTGGCAGTGTTTTGTCCACTTAAGCTTTTCCGGCACACAGGACACGTGTCATGCTTTGGAGAGCAGACAAAAAAAACAAGAAATATGGGAAATATGGTTAGAAACACGCTACAGGAGTGGCACTCAAGGGAAGGGCTAGGGTGACACCCCTTCCTCTGGTGAAAGGCTGCTTAGGCCTCATCACGGAGGTGTGGAAATGTTCACAGAGCAGTACCACCAGAAAACCCCCAACTGCTGCAAAACCCACGAGATCCACGTGGAAGGCACCAACCTGTTCCAGCCAAGGGACTATACAGCTGTTGTGGAAGAGGTGATTGCAAGGTAACTGTCGGACGTTTTCCCCAACTGTATAGTCTTCTTTACACACGGGACACTCTAACCCAGAATCTGCATCAAGGGGAAGCAGAACACAGCTAAGCAATAAAGGAGGGAACAACAACTGAAGCTCCCCCTCAGGATCCCATCACCACCTCCCTTCCCACCCATTTAGCTCTTGTGCTTCTGCCCCCACTGCTGCTTCATCCCGGGAGGGGAACTTGTTGCTTTGCAGGTCCTACCAGCATCACTCCACCTTCCGCTGCTCTGTTCCCCTCTTCAACCTACTACGTACAAGCCATATTTAACGAGCAGAGTACACGTGCACATACTCGTACCAAAGCACCTGGTGCTCGATTCGTGCCTGCCTGCCTGATAAATAAGCTCTCACCCAGCACGCCTGGCAGAGCTGGCAGCACACGCCAGCACAGAGCTGCAGCCCAGCCCAGCAGTGCGCACGTGCTTGCTCATCTCTATCTGCACTCAACTTTTCAGAGCAGTTTCCCTCCCCAGGGCAAATCCATCCAGTCTACGCTGCTCTTCACTTTGTGTGAGTAGAGCAGAGCAACGTCAGCTTTCGCCCCTCTTTGAAACATTTTAGACCTTGAAGGCACTGGCAGACAAAATTAAAATCACACAAAAGCGTTGAACAGAATTTTCACAGACCTCTTGGTGAGCAATTCCCTGGAGGAGACATACACACCTACGTGCTCCTGTGTGATCTGTATGGTGGGGAGGGCCTGGATCTTTTCTTTGTCTGCTGGCGGCGGTCCAGTGTTTTCAAACTGATTTAGTAACTGAAAAAACAATGGGCCATACAGGGCAGAAAGATGTGAGCTCAGCAGCACACAGAATCTGCTCATTTACCAAGCGGAGGCACTTGAGCCCAGCACCCCCCGCACCGTGGGCCTTGTTTCCCACGCCTGCACCTCCAGTGGTTGCTCCCCTGCTTCACAGCAGGTGCTGACAATTCTGTAGCACCACCCAAGAGCACTGCAGACCCCGTGACAACGCTACTTTTACCTGTGTGATAATTGCATCCAAGCCATTAGCACCCCAGGCGTAGTCCATTGGATTTGAATGCAAGACTCCCCTTTAAGAATAAGAACAGAGTTAAATTCAGGGGGGAATAGGAACAGCGTCAGAAAGAAGAGTCCATCTTTAACTCACCAGGGACCAAGTCCTAGGTTTGGTATTGTTGTTGGTGCAATGATGCCATTGACCAGCTGCTGAATGATCCTGAAAGACAAGAAAACCAGGATTAAAAAAGAATTCACGTCTGCCAGCTCCCAGCCTGGAAATCTGACACGGAAAGAGCAGCTGGATGCTGCTGCATCGTCAGAGGGAATAAAAGGAAGAATGGAATACCCTGCAGGAACTGCATCTTACAAACAGACACCTGTGAAAGGCGGTCACAGCGCACGGC